GCCAGCCAGATCTACATAAATTTTAGCAGTAAGTTTTCTTCATCAAACCTTTAGATCCGCTGCGCATAGGTTTATGTTGAGTGTTTGTCCGTGATTTGTGCATATCGAGATCCTCGTGGGTTCCAACAGTTCATTGAGCAAGTGTGAAATAATTATGCAATAAACTATGGTACATGGTACACAAAAGACCTCCAACCGGCTGAGATTCGGTCTGTTTTGAGCTCCTCGACGGTTGAATGTCCTTGAGACCTGCAAAAACTCTCACACTGGAAGAGATTTAGGGTAAAGAGCCTCCGGTGCTTAAATTAGCACTGTGTAGAAGATGAAGTGTTGTATGTATATAGAGAATATGGAGAATGTAAAGTGATAATGGACACACCTCACTCCCTTATATACAGAGATGGAACCTTGTTGGCCAAGACTGCCCGAGTGGGCTGCCTGAGCTAACCGTTCGTACTGCCAGAACTGCTAATATGTATGAGCTCCCAGTTTTGTTAGGCCACGTGGCCCTATCCACGTATGGTCCTTTCCTATTACTATTCCTTATTATCCATTAGTCTTTCATATTAGACTAACTTCTTATCCACGTGCGACCAACTTGAATCCTGATGAGGTAGAATGTTGCGTGTACCAAGCTAAGTGTTGTCCTTCTGGTCGATCACGCGACCAACCGTACCTTTATGTCGAGCTACCAACAGGCCATTCGAGGGCCCTAGCTCGATCTGTCTTCGTCTCATTGAACCTCTCATGCTTTCTTTGACCTGAAGACTCCTTGTTCTGCACTAGCGCACGACCTCCTTTTGATCTTCCTGTGGCTCTGCTCCGGTTAGCTTGGCCAATTTATTGGGTTTGCTCTACGTGGTTTGGTATCCAATATCATCTGGTCCCCCCACTCTGGTCGAACTATACTCGATCTAAAAGTATATTTTTGTCCTTAAATTTGGTAGATGGATTATGACTCTTAACAGTTGACATGTCTGCCTGCGGTTCATTTAATTTTACCACTCAATATTCAACCTCTCTCTGAGGTCCTCAATTCAAATTTCAAATTTTGAATCTCTGCCGTCCTGTTAGATTCGATTAACCACAACATCTCATCAACGTCATAACTCCGTAAATTGTGTTTGATATCGGAAACTATACCAAAAAGAATAAATCGGTCGAATAATCCAAACAAACCGCCTGGTCGAGCAATGTCCAAACGAGTTGGTTGTGGTCGAACATCATAGGATTAAGAGCCTATGAACTGAAAGAAAACTTAAAAGGGATTTCGGCACGCGGAGAGTAGGTCGAGCCAGGACCCTCAGATAGGTTGTTGAAACTGAACCTACAACAGCATGTCGTCCTAGAGTTGGTCGAGCCTTCGAGAAGATTTCAGGGGAACAAGCCCCCCATGGGGTGAGGACATGTTCCAAGGCCCGATTGGCCTATACCCTATAACTGTCTCTAATACACTGTTGTAATTATTTTTACCGGAGTAGAATCAAAAGATTTGTTCCCCAGGTTGTATCACAAAGAAGGTTGGCCAGATTAATTTGCACAATTATTCAATCTATTAATATATAATGAGGATTAACTTAATTCATTTTTAGAAAATCTTTCCCGCCAAATTCATTAATTACACTCTAAAAATAGTAACTTAACACACTTTCATTAATTATTGCTTAATTATATGTCTCTGTTTTTCCGTTTTTTTTCTTTTATGATATGGAATGAAAATCCTAATCAATCTCCTATTTTTTTCTCCATATCAATCACAGAGATAAAAAACTGAAAAAAATGGTAACAAGATTTTTAATTTTCGATACAATAACAAGAATTATTTTGAAGTTACATATATTCGTTTTTGTTTAAAATATTAGATAGATTTATTTTTTATGAACTCAATTATATAGATTCCATAAATATTAATATTGTAATGTAGTGAGATATTCTACTCGTTGTGAACTTATATTTCCGAAATCTCATATAATAACTAAAAATTATTTATATATATATTAGTATTTACGAGAATCTCGAACACACTCGGCCATTCAATTGTCAATCGTTAGGAAAACAATTTCTCATACTATTAGCAGAAAAACAAAATGATTATGGACCAACCAATGTGCTTGATCACCATTTACGAACATACAAAAAATTGGGAAATCCATAGTAAGTGCCAAACAAAAAATGGACCAACCCTTTCGTTCTTATCAAAGATGTGGAAAGTACAAAGAGAGTTATGTTGCAACTTCTGAAAATCCGAAAAGAATTAGAGGAAGAAGATGTTTATGCAATTTGCAACTACAAAGTGGAAAGAAATCTTAGTAAATATGGATCTGCAATTATCAAATACAAAATAATTTTGCATAGAAAAACAAAAATCATAGCAACCCAACCTATTTCTCTATTTTCCGTTTTGATTTTTGAAATTTTGCAACATTTTGTGATGTGAAAAATGTCGATGAGTCTTCACTTTTCGATAAGAATAACTTTCGAATATATTAATTTTCATATCTAACAATGATTAAATAAATATTTTTTATTTCATATGAATGTAGATGTCATTGGGTTGGTAGTAGAAATTCAACAAGTGCAATTCAAGCAAGTTGCACGACAACATACTCAAATGATTGACTTTACTCTTCTCGATTTGAAGTAAGTATTTGCATAAAGGTATTTAATTGTTATATACATTTAAGAAAAATTTATTAGTTTGAAATTATTATTTTATCTATTATAGGGACAATACTATTAGTTCTGAGAGTCGTTATAAAGGCAAAGGCTATCCATGAGTTCTCATAATGTAGCTTAGTAGAGCAAGATTGTGTGGTGGTAGTATTAAAAAATTAAAGTATTATAAATTTTGATATTATTTAATTTTGCTTTTTTATATATAATAATTTGGTGGAGCAAGGCTGTGGGTTGGTTGTATTAAAAACCAATAATGTTATGTACAAAGAGGTTTTTAATAATGTATGACTTTTTTATGACGAATATTTTAGATCAAGTGACAAATGCTCTACGTATTATACATTATTGATTAATAACCTTCAATTTATAAATTTTAGCAAAACAAATACAGCCCGTGCATCGCACGAGTTACATACTAGTCACACAAAAAAGAAAACAAATTCCTAAACACTCTAATCTAATTGTTTTTTTATTTCAATTAACGACTAACTATTCACAAACGAGGCAATTCGAAAATTCAATAGCAAACAAATTCCCTTAATGATAAAAGTGTTAGGGAATCGGGATAATCATTTTCAGTTCTTGATACAATTACCGTGCAATTAATGGCTCGGTTAAAGGGCTTGATTGTTTACTCGTCTAGAGGTTCACTTTCAATAAAACGATCAACTTATCAAATTCAACAACACATAGACAATACAATAACGAACAAGTCTATTATAAACGAGCTTAAATCGACCGACGTCTCCCCTCTCGGTTCTAAGCATCGATTAATTAGGTTAGAATAGTGATCAATCAACTAACTCTATAATTCGCACAACTCGCATAGATATAGCAATTATCAATCACTTAATTGAAAATGAATCGAAACAATCATCCCCTAACCCTAGCTTACGGAATTAGCCACTCATCACAATTTCAACACGAAAATTCACATCAACCAAAGCAATCATCATCATAACAAAACGAGAAGAGGTGCTTACGATTAATAGAAAATCCAATGTCAAAAAACAACGAGCAATCCAAAATCCAAAAGAGTGATCTTGAGGTTTTCACCTTACAAGATTGAATCTAATAGAAACTAGAGAGGAAATATGTTTATGCTAGAGAGAATTTGAAAAAGTCTGG